ATTCAACTGATTTATCATTCTAGCGTTAAATACTCATTGGAAAAGGTGCCAGATGAAAACATAGCAATAAAATTTAAATATATAATTAGTAATACAGCTTTCAGAGACTCTGGAGGCATAGTGCCTAAGGCATTTGACTGCTAACTAGAAGACTGGCAGTTAAAATTCACCAGCCACTCCTTGGAAGTTTTGTAGAGATACTGCCTCAGAAACCCAAGGAGGGGTCACTGTGACTCGGAACCGACTCATCAGCAGTGAGTTTAGTTTTTTTAATACAGTTTTCTATTATTACTTATATAATTAAGAAGTTTGGTATTAACTTTGTAAAATGTGGATAAATGAGGAATGTTTAGTTAACTAATGGTATTTGGTATACACTCAATCTGATGGCCAACTAATTCTAAGTTTAAGCTGCATCCAAGTTTATGAAGTGGTTTCAGCCACACAGCTACAGTCCTCAAGCTCTGGCTTCAATTCACTTTATAAAAGTTAAGTTTACATGAAAGTAAATGCCTATTTTTTCACTAGTTTTTATCTTATTCTGAAGCAAATGTTAAAATTCTGAAAACTAAAACCCAAAGGAAAGCACAAAAACATTATGAACTGAAAAACTGACTGCCGTTGAGTCAGATCTGACTCACAGTGACCCCTCCTTGGGTTTCCCAGGAGGTATCACTACAGAAGTAGATTGTCGAACCTTCCTTTCAAGGAATGGATGGTGGATTTGAACCACCAGGCTTCTGGTTATCAGTCATACGCCTTAGGCACTATGCCACCAGAGCTCCCCAAAAGCATTATAAAGATGTATTATTTTCTGAATAAGAAAGAACAACTTAAAATTCTACATAAAAGGAATCAGAAAAAGCTGAGGGAAGCATTTATAAGTATAACTTTATCACTGATAATGTTAAGGTCAGCATAAAATTACTTAAAGATAATATATAAATACAAACATTAAAAGCACTAATTTTTTTTTTTTTTGCTTTGTTTAATTAAAAAAAAAAAAAACTCACTGCCATTGAGTCGATTCCGACTCATAGCGACCCCTCTTTGGGTTTCTGAGCTGGTATGTCTTCGGAAGTAGATTGCCCAGTCTTCCTTCTGAGAAGTGACTGGTGGGTTTGAACCACCAGCCCTCTGGTTAGCAGGGTGGCGGAGTGCCTGTGGCATTTGACTGCTACCAGAAGGCTGGCGTTCAAACCCACCAGCCACTACTCGGAAGGAAGATTGAACAATCTACTTCCGTATACATACCGCCACCGAAACCCAAGGAGGGGTCGCTATGAGTTGGATTCAACTTGACGTCAGTGATTTTTGAGTTTTAAAAAAATAAGAATTTTTCATTACAGAGTAAGGAGGCAACATGCGTCTGTAGAAAACGTAAAGGATTACTCAGTATGCTTCCTGAGTAGACAGCTTAGCACAATCACAGGATTTTTATAAAATAAGATTTATAGATGGGGCAATCTACTTAGGTAGTGATACTGCCTCGGAAACCCAAGGAGGGGTCGCTATGAGTCGGGTCCGACTCCACGGCACATAACAACAACAACGTAGCTATACTTTATTTTCCTTTTTTAAAAAAATCTCTGTGGCTAAATTACTCATAATAAAGAAGATTTTTTCAGTCAGAAAAACTACCTTTAGTGGCAAGTAAATGGGAAAAGGATTACAGTGAAAATGAGATTTTGCTTAATCTTTTTATAATCTTATCATAGGGCTATAAATTAAACTTTTTTGGGAAAAAAAATTTGTCTAAGCTTTAAAATTTTCACATAATAATCCTACATCTAGGAATCATACATATAAAAACACAAATATCTTTATAATAATATTAAGGAAAGATAGGAAAAAAAATTTGAGAGTGGAAGGATAAAACAATTACAGGTTTATCCATCTAATAGTTTATTTATTATACAGTCATTAAAAAGATGTTTGCCAAGAAATTTAAAAAATTTTTACTACGTAATTAAAAATAAAGGTTTGAACCACGAGCCTTCTAGTTAGCAGTCAAATGCCTTAGACACTACGCCACCACAGCTCCTAAAGATTTACAGCCTTGGAAACCCAATGAGGGTCACTATGAATCAGAATCCAAGTGATGGCAGTTGAGTTTGGTTTTTTAAATATGCACACACAAAAAAATCTTGCTGGAACTATAACAAAATATTAATAATTCCCATCTCTGGATAAGAAAACTGAAATATTAAAGTGCATATCAGTATAGTCAAAGAATCTGAGGATTCCTGTAGTAAAGAAATACAGAATGTGATCATGATGCCAATTTGGGAAGTCCAAAAAAAGGAAACATTACATCTAAATAAAAGGCTGACATTTTTGGTCTCTGCAAATTAAAATTAATAATGCATTATATTTAATACTGAAAAGTAGATTAGAATTGGCAACATTTCCATCTTAATACATTTCTTTCACACTTAACTATAACGAGGCAAATATAATTAAGAAGTCTCAAACCGACACGTGAAATTTTTTGAAAAGATGTCAAATGCCCAATTTACTGTTAAAAAAAATGTTCACAATTAACTAGCCACTTGAGATAGGTTTTCTATAACAAAGTAAGTATTAAATCTTCACCAGAAATAATTTGGAGATGCTGCTATGTTTGCAAATGTAATAGCCAGCATTCAGAAAGGTGAAGTATAGGAATCCAATTATAGAAACATGACTCCTCAAAAAAATTTTTACAATCTGAAGGGAGCATGAAAAGCAATGTAAGAAAGTACTTTCACCAGTGCTAATCACTCCAGAGCTCATGAGTAACATCACAGTACACCATGGCCTTATGCCAAATAATAAAGTGCCAAATGGAAAATGGCACAAGTCCATGGATTGTAAATTCTGTATCAAAAGAAAATAAAAGGGTGGGGGGGACTTCCATTAGAGCAATTAAAAATGCAGTTGTAGTACCAGTTCCCATGATGAATGGTTTAGAAATTCCAAAAGTGGACAAACACTATTTAAACACACTGCCCCTTTCAACTACTTGAAGTTTAAATGCTTACTGTCTGTTCCTTTAGTTTCTAAACTTTTTAGACACTAAAGTGATTTGGGGGTTAGTGTAATTGGTTTACAACCATGGTCACTCAAAATTTTCACATGTGGCATTTGATGGTTAGGCACCTGACTGACCCATGATATTATAGAAAATAACACAGATAAACACTGCAAATAAGTACATTCATACCAATGCACCCAAAGTTTAGACCATAAACTACTTCATGAGTTTCTATTAACACATCAATGATTCATTATTCCATAATTCCATCTCTCAAATTATTTGCACTAAATTGGCATGTTCTGCTTCAAACCTTATGAAAAACCCTAAACTTAAGATAGAAGTTCAATAGTCAATTTGAAAATGTTTCAAACAGAATTCAAAACCACATTAAGTGGCCTAAACCAGCAGCATGTTACTGGGGATGGTCCTATCTCTAGGGCACTCTTTTGCAGTGTAAATTTGCAGAACAACTATGTTCTGTTAAAAAGCTCAGAAATATCTGTACCACTTAGCTTTTGCTAACATCTCAAAATTTAGTAGTTTAAAGCAACAGATAATTATTATTTCTCACAATTTTGAAGGATAACTCAGTAGTTATTCTGGTATGGGCCAACTTAAATTGGGATGGGATGGTCTAGCAAAGCATCACACACATTTTCACCAAAATACAACTAGATAGACAATCTTCTTACAATCAAGCCAAGCCTAATAATACATATCCTACCTGAACAGACTACAGGTCACATTGCCAATGCTTTGTTTTAATGTTTATCATCTAGAAATATTAATGTATACAAAGGAAACTATTAAGGCAAGTTTGTTTTTTTGTTTTTCCCCCTGAGCTTTATTTAAGCACGTATCAGTGCTCACTTGGATCATGGGGGATAAAAAGATAATCTATGTATTAAGAGATAGCTTCCACTGTCTTTGTGGTGATTTAACTAAGAATTCTGCAAAGACTGTTAAAGATGAGATGTATGCAGAAGAGTCCAAAAACGCAGTAGACATCATTGGTTTATAACTAGAAGATTTTTTCTTGTTCTTAAATTACCCTAGTTGATATTTTCTTGTAAAATTAAACATACAATTAGTATAACGAATGAGCAATTACACTCTTAGGCATTTATCTCAGAGAAGCGAAAATGTATATTTACTCAATAACATGTACAAAAATGTTCATAGCAACTTTATTCATATAGCCCAAAACTAGAAACAGAACAGATATCCTTCAACAGGTGAAAGGTTAAAAAAACTGTGATACACAAATACCATGGAATACTACTCAGCAACACAAAAGAACAATCTATTGATTCATATAACATTTTGGATCAATCACTAGGGAATTAAGTTGACTGAAATTAGTTAATACCAAGAGGTTACATACTGTATGATTCCACTGATATAACACTTTTTGAAATGACATTCTTAGATACAGGGTAGGAACAAGATGGGGTTGTGGTAATAAAAGAACAACAAAACAGATCTTTATCAAAGTGTTCACTGTCTTGACTATGGTAATGAATACACAAACTTACATATGTGAGAAAATTTTATAGAACTAAATACACCCTCCCCCCAAAAAAACAACTTACTATTGAGTTAATTCCAACTCATAGCAAACCCATATGGTACGAGCAGAAGTGCATTCCATAGGGTATTAAAGGCTGTGACCTTTCCAGAAGCAGAATATCAGTCCTTTTTTCCAAGGTACCTTAGGGTGGACTTAAAGTGCCAACCATTTGGTTAGCAGTAGAGTGCTTAACCATTTGCACCACTAGGGGACTTTAAAATACATACATAAATTTGAGTAAGATTGGTGGATTGTTATCAATGTCAATATTTTTCTAAGATGCAAATCTGCAACCATCTCAATAAAACCAGTTACAAAATTTTTTAAAAAGTTTAGCCTTGGAAGGAAGTCTCCTTGGAGCCTCAGTTTCATTTGGAGTTTAATTCAAACACTGTGGCTAGTATGACTTACATTTGGGACATCAATTGCCACCTCCCTCATGGCACTAGGCCTGATGTCATGCATTCCCTTCAAGAAATCATTCAGAGTAATCTTCACCAGTCCAGCCACCTTGCTGTCAGGGAAGTTAGGCTGTTTCTTCAAGACTCTCCGCAGAGCACAGAGACCTACAAAGATAAAAACAACATAAGATGTATCTTTTACCCATAAAAACAAACCGAACCAATAAAAACAATAATAAAAATCACAAACTCCATGCATATTACAGCAGTAAAGAATCTGTGTGTTTGTGATGGTGGCAGGAGAAGAAAGCAGGGGAAGATAAACGCCAAAGTCCTACAAGCATGAAAAAGAATTTACCAAATCATCATTAAATAAACATAAATGTTTATTATAAGCTATTTGATTGGGGGATTTATTTTGAAAGAGTAAAATATTAAAATAATAACATGCTTTTTGCCCGTGCCCTTTTTGTTAATACATTCAAACCAGAGTTAAAATTTTGTATGGCACTGCCAGGACATCTGAAAGGAAGTATTTAGCTGGCAGTTGAAAATGTGATTCTGGAACTCAACAGAGAAAAAATCAAAATTCAGAGTATGTGCACACACATGAGATCTGGTATTAGAAGAGTGGAAGAGATCTACAAGTGGAGATTCTAGGAACTGACAGAACAGCTATTGAGATGTTTCAACAAATGATGCAACACTGGAAATGCTCACTCATTTATGCCAAGAAATTTGGAAGGTAACCTGGCCAACCAACTGGAAGAGATCCGTATTTGTGCCCATTCCAGAGAAAGATGATCCAACAAAATGTAGAAGTTATCAAACTGTATCATTAATATCATATACAAGTAAAATTATGCTGAAAATATTTCAAAAACGGTTGTACCAGTGCAAGGAACTTCCAGAAACTCAAGTCAGATTCAGAAGAGAATGTGGAGTGAGGGATATCATTGCTGATATCAGATGAATCTTGGTTGAAAGAAAAGAAAACCAGACGGATGTTTACTGTGGTTTATTGACTATGCAAAGGCATTCAACTGTGTGAATTATAACAAATTATGGATAACACTGAGAAGAATGGAAATTCCAGAACACGTAATCGTGCTCATGCAGAGTCTATACACAGACCAAGAGGTAGTTGTTTCAAGATGCAATTGTTCGAACAGAATAAGGGGATACTGCATGGTTTAAACCCACCAGCCACTCCTCGGAAGGAAGGTTGGGCAATCCTACTTCCGTAGTGATACTGCCTCGGAAACCCAAGGAGGGGTCGCTATGAGTCGGGTTTGACTCGACGGCACATAACAACAACAAGAAGCATGGTTTAAAATCAGGAAAGGTGTGTGTCAGGGCTGTATTCTTTCACCATACTTATTCATTCTATATGCTGCACAAATAATCCAAAGAACTGGAATTAGAAAACCCAAAGGGAGCAACATGCTCAGCATTTCTCAAGTAGAAAGAACTGAAGAAAAAAATTCAAGCCTCAAGTTACAATACTGAAAGATTCTATGGGTAAAATATTGAATGATGATCAAAAGATGATGGAAAGATGCTAAAGCAGCATGGATGCAGCATCTTCTGACCTCCTCTAACTCGACAAAAGGAAGACAGAATCACCATCAGCAGCCCAAGGCCTGTTCTTATGAGGCCAGACATGCAACCACCCACCAGCCCTTTCACCAACCTTAACACCAACTGTCACTCTTACAGCACCCACCACCTCTCTGCTGCATTCAATAATCCGCTGCTGTGGCCACACAGAACTAACAGATTATGGAGTTTATTAGGAAACCAACAGGCTACAATTCAAGTTCAGGAACACACTCAGTCTCTCTCCATCAGCAGTCTCTCTCCACCAGCAGTCTGTCTCAGTCTCTCTCTCAGCAGCACATCTCTCTCAGCAGTGCATCTCTCTAAGTTGGCAGTCAGAGAGATTCCTTCTGCCTCTAGGAGGGCTCATTTTTAGCTTGGCAGAGTGGCAAAACTAACCAACCCCAACATCAGAGTTCTACATACCTGACAGAGAACAAACTTTCCCAGAAGATTACTTCCTGCTACTCCAACAGAAAGACTCCGAGTGGATGACTTTAACAATCAGAGTTTAAATTGCATGGTCCCACCCAGTAATCCAGTGGGAGTTACAAAGACTATGGCTAGAAAAGCCATACCGTGTAATTCACTACACCGCAAAGGAATACACAGGGTCACTGTACAAAAAAGAATTGGTTGATGTGCACATATTTCAGGAGGTAGCATATGATAAAGAACTAATAGTATTGAAGGAAATCATCAATATCATTAATATCACACATAAGTAAAATTTTGCTGAAGATAACTCAAAAACAATTGCAGCACTTTATTGACAGGGAAGTTCCAGAAACGCAAGCTGGATTCAGAAGAGGACATGGAATGAAGGATATCACTGCTGATATCAGAGGCATCTTGGCTAAAAGCAAAGAATACCAGAAAGACGTTTACTTGTGTTTTATTGACTAAGCAAAAACATTCGATTGTGTAGATCATAACGAATTATGGATAACATTGAGAAGAATGAGAATTCCAGAACACTTAATTGTGCTGATAAGGGACATGTATATAGATCAGAAACCTATCATTGAAACAGAACGAGGGGATACTGCATGGTTTAAAATTAGGAAGGGAATGTGTCAGGGTTGCATCCTTTCACCATACTTATTCAATTTGTATACTGAGCAAATTATCCAACAAGTCAGACTATATGAAGAAGAACACGACATCAGGACTGGAGGAAGACTCATTAAGAACCTGTGATATGTGGATGACACAGCTTTCTTTACTGAAAGTGAAGATAACTTGAAGCACTTATTGATGATGATTAAAAACTAGTCTGGAGTATAGATCATACCTCAACATAAAGAAAACAAAAATCTTTACAACTAGACCAATAAGCAGTATCAAAATAAAATAGAGAAAAGGTTGAAGATGTCAAAGTTTTCATATTACTTGCTTCCGCAATCAACAGCAATTGAAGCAGCAGTCAACAAATCAGATGTCATATTTCACTGGGCAAATCAGCTGCAAAAGACCTCTTTAAAGTACTGAAGAGCAAAGATGTCTCTTTGAAGACTAAGGTGTGGCTAACTCAAGCCATGGTATTTTCAATAGCTTCACATGCATGTAAACGCTGGATAGTGAATAAGGAAGATCAAATAAGAGTTGATGCTTCTGAGTTGTGGTGTTGGCAAAGCATATTGAAAGTACCAAAGATTACCAGAAGAATGAAAAAGTCTGTCCTGGAAGAAGTGCAGCCAAAATGTTCCTTACCAAGAATGGCCAGACTTCGTCTCACCTACTTTGATCATGTTGTCAGAAGGGACCATTCCCTAGAGAAGGATATCATGCTTGGTAAAGTAGAGGGTCAGAAAAAAAGGGGAAGGCCCTCAACAAGATGGCCTGAAACAGTGGCTACAACAATGTGCTCAGTTATAGAAAGTATTGTGAGGCTAGTGCAGGATGAGGAAGTGTTTAAATCTATTATATACAGGGTTGCTATTAATAGGAGCCAACTTGATGGCACCTAACAACAATAACACTGAAATAAGGGAAGTGGATTAATAATTTTCCTGCCACATTTATTATATTGGGCAAGCATGAAATTTGACGATAAAAGAGGCCAATTATTTTCATTTGAGGAAGGCATTTGGAAAGGGCAGGCAACATCCAGTTTTAAAAAGCATACACATCCACTTCTCACTTGGTTCCAGGGGCAAAGTCATTATGTGAAAACTGGCATTATGTGAAAACAGAGGATGACTACTTCACTACTTATTTGCTAAACTACATCACTGCTTAACTGTCAACACACTGAGAATCACGGCCCACCCAACTGTACCCATAACCGTAACTATCACAGCCAGAATTACTCTTGCCTCACACCTCGGCATTCATTACCACCATATGTAGCTTATTAATAGTCGGATAGTAGATATTTTTACTACTGTTGTAAATGTGAAATGTTGGATAACGAGAGAGTCAGTAAGTGAGGAATTAGTGAACAATATTATACTATACATGTGTATTTATGAAACAAAAAAAACACTACAGTTTCTAATAAAAAATACAGATTTTAAAGCTGGGCAAAATTTCCACACCCATGAAAAAATAGTAGTAGTTCACATAAGGAGAGAGAGAAGTCATCAAAACAAAGAAACTTGGAGTTTTTGAAAATTTGTGTGTTTAAAACACTAAGCTTTCAGTTAGTAACCAAACACTTTAACCACTGCACCATCAGGGCTCCTTATAAATACTAAAATACAAAGATTGATTCTGTGATAACACAACACAACACATCCAAATAATAAACATATAGCTACCAATGATGCAGCTATTTCTAAAAATATTTTTGAGATATCTTTTTAAACTGATTTTTAAGTTAGATTATAACTCATATATAGAAAATTAGTCTTCAGACCTTGAGAATCTCTTTTAAAAAATTTTATTTATCTAAAAACATTAGCTTATTTGATTACCCACATTAGTTTCTAGACAGAAATACAAAAGTCAATTGACTATTTCTAAAACTTACAATTTCCATTATAAGTCATAATTACATCATATTGTAAGTTATAATTATATTATTATACTGTAATCTTTTCACATTAATAAGGCCCACTATTGACCATAGGAGCTCTGGTGGCATTGTGCCTAAGGCATTTGACTGCTAACCAGAAGGCTGGCGGTTCAAACCCACCAGCCACTCCTCGGAAGGAAGACTGGGCAATCCACTTCCATAGAGATACTGCCTCGGAAACCCAAGGAGTGGTCGCTATGAGTCAGAACTGACTCTATGGCAGTATGTTTGGTTTTTTCCTTTTATCGAGCATATTCAATCAAGGGCTGAAAAATAAAGATTTTAAGTAAAGGTACTCATATCACGTAAAGACAGCAGATCAAACACTATTTGATTCCCCCCAAAATTCCACTAACAGTAAAAGAATTTTTTTTAAAAAGCACAAACCCCCCTATAAAGCTATTATTGTATTAAAAATTCAGGGTACAGACAACGGTTTATAATAATGAATGGGCACTATTTTGCTATGGTCATCAAAACATTATTATTATTATTACTGTGTTACTGTGTTAAAGATGTTTTAGTGTATCTGGAAGTGTTTCTTTAA